GTGACGTCACGCGTCATTTTAACTCAAAATATCTACATGTTTTTTTGGATACGAGAAAAAAGAAAAAATACGTATCGAAGATTTTTAAAATATCTAAAAGACGGACAAAAAATTAAAAAATAGTCGCCATGCCTATTATAGAACAATAGGTTGCGGTCACCGGTGTCCTCGCGGTGTTTGACAGTTTAACTCGTCAAGTACCGTCATTATAGACACAATTATAGAACAATAGGTTGCGGTCACCGGTGTCCTCGCGATGTTTGACAGTTTAATTCACTTCGGCAGACGACATGATAGTTACCTTCTCTTTCATAGCAGCGTCAGCTAGCTGTGACCGTCTCCTCTCGAGTTCTGCCTGTCCCCTCGCCATGTTCTCTCTTCGTCTCTCTTCGTATGACTTCGCACTAGTATTCGAAGAGACTGAGTCGCGTCTGAAAATGAAGAAATAGAGAAATACAATTAGTTACAGTAGGTAATTTCTTCTTCTTATCTTTCTTTCACAATTTGGAGAATCTTGCTTTTCCTTTTTTAAAAGTAGATTATAAAAGAATCCTTACTAATATTATAAATTGGAAAGTGAGTTTGTTTGTTCCGCTTTCACGCCGTAACTACTAAACCGATTGCTTTGAATTTTTGCAGACGTAAAGTTAGAAGTCTGGATTAAATAATAGGGTACTTTTTATCCCGGAAAAATTTGATATTTCCGAGGGAAAACAAAAGTATTGGTATAGATGGCGCTGTGTGTATTGGTATATGTCACATAGGCTACTTTTTATCCTTTTGTGATGCGAGCGAAGCTAGAAAGCTAGTTATTCATAAACAGTTTCAAGGTCAATCTTAACTCTACAGGTCCCGTATAACCTAATAGAGGTCCCATTCTCCAATCCCTAATTCCCATAAGACGGACTTTAGACTCCTCTGGTGTTCCGTTTGTCCATGGGCGACGCCGATTGCTTACCATCAGGTGATCCGTCTGCTCGTTTACCGGCTTAAGACATAAAAAATAAAAAATATGTTAAAACTTACCGGAATGTAGGTGGTATGAGTTCCGGAGGTAACTTCGCTGGCACCGGTTCTCCTTGAGTCGCCTTCTCGCATAAATACATCGCCAGGACGAATTCCTCACAGCCTAGGAGAAAGATGAGAAATGTCTGTCAATACTTATCCTTTCAGTATTCAGACGTTCATTACATTATATTCCTTAAGTGTGGGAGAGCCATGCTTAAACACGAATGGGCCGGCTCGACCGGAGTGATACCACGGCCGAGCAGAAAACCGACGTGAAGCAACGCTTGCGTTGTGTTTCGTCGTGTGAGTGAGGTTACCGGAGGCCCAATTACCCCCTCCCCCCTTTCCCTAATCCCTGAATCCCCAACAATCCTCAAATCCCTAATCCAGAAGGCCGGTAACGTATTTGTAACGCCTCTGGTCTTTTTTTTTATAATATTGTAGATTAATTCTCCACGGACTCTAGGTCCGTGCCCTTGTCAAACAATTTTTTTATTATAATAAATCTACACATAACATAACATCACGCCTTTTATCCCCGAAGGGGTAGGCAGAGGTGTACATTATGCCACTGTACAATGTAACACCCACTTTTCACTATTTATGTTATGAGTCCCATGTAATAGGGGGTGAGCCTATTGCCATATACCGGGCACAATTCCAGACTCCGTGCTACTGCTGAGATTTTTTTTTAAACCCTGTAATATTTTTTTATGCCATAAGCCGGTAAACGAGCAGACGGATCACCTGATGGTAAGCAATCGGAGTCGCCCATGGACACACGGAACACCATTAGTTAGTTTGTTTTTAAATAAAAATAAAAATTCGTAAATCATTAAATTTGTTAATTATTGTTTTTCTACGTTCATAGGCTGAAAGAGAGCGCAAAGAACGCGAAGAAGCGGAGAAACGAGAGAAGTTGCGTCTAGAAGCTCAGAAGCGGGAGCAAGAAGAGTTGCTTCGGAAGCAAAAGGAAGAACAAGTAAGCATACATATATAACTTCACGCCTGTCTCCCATGGGGGGTAGGCAGAGACTATGGAACATCTAATTTACACTGCATGCAAGGTTGGCGCGATGGCTGGGCTACTGGCTGACGCGCAACGTGTCGCGGGTTCGATTCTCGCACGGAACAAATCTTTGTGTGATCCACAGATTGTAGTTCCGTGTGTGTGTCATGTGTATGTGAACTTGTATGTTTGTAAACGCACACACGACACAGGAGAAAATATTAGTGTGGGGCAATGTTTAAAAAAAATGTTACGATTCCTACACACCTCTTTCGCTTCATCAACAGTCATCAATCTTTTCATGCATGCTCGTCGGTTAAGGGTACTTTTAATTTGGCCCTTCTTTAATATATCACCAATCTGGTCACTATATGTCTACCGACAGCTCCATTCATATACGCTCTGTATACTTCTTTCTCTTTCTTTACTCTACTTTCATCCATCCTTTCTATATGTGGACATGTAGAAAGGATGGATGAAAGTAGCCAGCGTAACATTCCCTTTTCAATCCTTGTCACTACATCATCTTTCAATCCACACCTTTCTCTAATACATAGAAGAACAAGTAAGCTAAATTATTTATAATGTTTTCGTCTTACCCACGTAACTGTTTGACGAGGAACTCGACTAGTTTCAAGCCATGCTAGAGGCTCATATTCATGATAGTGCGCGGGAATCCCGGCAGAGGGCGCTGCGCCCAACCGCAGAGTCTACCAGCCAATAGCAGCCATAATCGCCGTGTCGCGGGCTGCCCGATGATTTGTCGCATCTTTTCGCCAACGACCCTCACGACAGCATAATTATGCATCCCCACCATATAGACGGTTGGTAGGCCACTACTGTGCGCTACGCGAGAGGTCCCCATCGCCGATCACTTCCCTGAGGGCACGGCGGTGTCAGCCCACGCAGGGCATTCCGCGACAGTGTGTTCCACCGTGTCCGTGGGCAGCGCCCGCGCGGGCCGCATCAGGTAGAGGGCCATGGACCGCACGACCCCGGCGTATAACCTCCGGCAGGAGGCGTTTGGCCCCCCGACGTTGGGGAGGATGCGCTTAAACGCAGCCCCCGCCCTCTCCAACTTTGGAGCCAAACGTCGGAAGTTCTCCACGAAGTTCCACCGACTGTCGAGGACGAGTCCTAGGTACTTCATCGTCGTCTCGACGCCGATGGTAACTCCTCCCGCCGTTATTTGGGACCCACCCGGAGGTGGCGCGTTCCCGCGGCCATGGAAACACATGGCCTCGGACTTGTGGGGCGCTACCTCGAGTCCCAACTGCCGGATTCTCTCGACGACTGTCGCAACACTACAATATGCCTATTATGTCGAATATGTTTATTGATTTATTATTATTATTACTTTTTTTAGGAAAAACGCGAGGCAGCTCGTAAAGAAATGGAGCGGCAATGTCAACTTGAGTGGGAGAAAAAACGGTACGTCAAAATAAATCATAACATAACGCCTTTTTAACTCTGAAGGGTTAGGCAAAGGAGCACATTACGGCACGTAATGCCACTGTACAATTTCACCCACTTTTCACTATTTATATTATGAGTCCCATGTATTTAGTGGTCGCAACTGCGACTGCCAGACTAGGAGTATAGGGTTCGATTCCCGGACCGGGCAAAATACTACTGGGTTTTGTAAAAACTTTTTAGTAGCACGGAGTCTGAAATTCTGTCCGGTATATGGCAATAGGCTCACCCCCTATTACATGGGACTCATAACATAAATAGTAAAAAGTGGGTGTTACATTGTACAGTGGCATAATGTGCACCTCTGCCTACCTCTTCGGGGATTAAATGCATGATGTTATGTTATGAAATTTGAATAACATGTAAAATTACTTCATCTTCAACATCTTTTTTAACCTATGATCTGCAAATAACAAAGTTATATGATTCTCAAACAGTGCGGGTTCGAAACCTACCAACGGCAAGTACCAATGTGACTTGTTCCGAGTTATATGTACTTTCTAAGATTATTTTGACACCACTGACAAACGGTGAAGGAAACATCGTGAGGAAACCTGAGCTTATAATTTCTAATTATAAGTTTGTAATCGCCAACCCGCATTGAGCAAGCGTGGTGATTAATGCTCAAACCTTCTCCGTGTGAGAAGAGGCATTTGGTCAGCAGTGGCCACTTATAGGCTGTTGTTTTTTAATAGTGACAATAATGAATCTTCTCCATTCTTCATCTTCTTCTAGAACGAGGGAACTAGAAGCGATGCGCACAGAAGAACAATCGAAAGTCTTATCCCTGAAAGCCAAAAGCCAGAGTGTATCAGCAGAATTAAACTCAGTAGTACTACGCGCCAGTAACTTGGCCAAGGACATCCGGGAGACGAGGACTAGTGTTGCAGCCGCCAAATGTACTATTGACGGCATGAGGTATGTTTATGTGATAAGTGACCCCAATTCTGTGACTAGTGACCCCAATTCTGTTCTAGTGACCCCCAGATTCTGTGATTATTGACCCCTGCTTTTGTTATTATTGACCCCCGATTTTGTGACTAGTGACCCCAGGTTTTGTGATTATTGACCCCGGATTTTGTAACCACTGACCCCCAGATTGTGTGACTGATGACCCCAGTATGTGATTACTGACCCCAATTCTGTGACTAGTGACCCCAGATTGAGTGATTAGTGACCCCTGCTTTTTTATTATTGACCCCCGATTTTGTGACTGGTGACCCCAGACGTGATTATTCACCCTAGATTTTGTGACTGGTGACTCCAGATGTTGTGATTATTGACCTCAGATTTTGTGACTAGTCACCTCGGTTTTTGTGACTAGCCATCCCAGATTTTGTTATTTTAACCTTGATTTATTTGTGGAGATGACAACTGTTTTTAACATAATGACTAGTCACTTACAACTCTTTTATTAGAGAAGCCGGGAAACGAGCTGACGGATCACCTGATGGTAAGCAATCAGCGTCGCCCATGGACAGCTGGAACACCAGAGGCGTTACAAGTGCGTTACTGGCCTTTTGGATTGGGATATATGAGGATTGTGGGGGATTCGGGGATTGGGGAGACTGTAGAGGGTACGGGGGTAATTGGGCCTTCACTGCCCTCATTCACACGATAAAAGCCAGCAGTACCGAAGTATGGCTCTGGCATCCCCAAAAGGCCGGTAACGCACTTGTAACGCCTCTGGTGTTTCAGGTGTCCATGGGCGACGCCGATTGCTTACCATCAGGTGATCCGTCTGCTCGTTTACCGGCTTATACCATAAGAAAATAAAACACGCTCACTTTTCTGTTACCTAATTGCATCACTATATCTAAATGCCCCCCTAAACGTATAGGTCGGATCGCGACTCAAGTATGGCAGAGATGCAACAACTCAAGGCTCGGGTGAAGGAACTCAATGCCAAGCAGATAGCTCTGAACAAGGAGAAGGCGGAACTCGATGCTAAGGTGAGTTGCTGTATTTCAGGAGTAGTTTAGAAATAAGGGTCAAAAATGTTATATATAACGAAGACAATTCACCCATTGGGGGTACTTCGTCATCGGATTCTTCGTAAACGCGGTAAGTTCGGTACGAGCTGGCCGAACAACCGCTCACCCTCGTGTCCAACTCAGAAGTGACGCCTGTCAAATGTCAACATGCCACGCCCCGTACCGACCATCACCCAAGCACACTGCTTGACGTTTCCGACAAATGATAACAGATGGCGTTGTTCTAAAATAACGATACTCAATAGCTGTGCATCTTTGTTGATTCTGCGACATATATATATATATATATATATTTCAATTTATCCTTAAGGCTGATTTTTCCAACGTCAGATAAATTTTAACTGAGGAATATTTGATAATAGGGTAGTTTCCTAAATTTTATTTCAATTTCCGTCTGGTACATTAATTTAAAACTTTAGACACGTCTTTTTTCTTTTCTCACAAAATTAAATGCTTTCGATGATATATTGACTTGAAATGTCGTGTGACGTCACAGCGTGCTACAAAATGTAGCACGTTGTGACGTAACTACTTCTCCTACTCTTAAACTTAACTCCATTTTATCTAAGTGCAATACTTAGATAAAATGGTTAAACTTTCGTTCATTAGTCTCTGCTTACCCCCATGGGAAACAGGCGTGAAATTATGTATGTATTGCAACTTAATACGAGAAAATAAATAAATACGTGTCTAATATTTTATTTCTATAAATAAATACGTGTCTAATTTTATCTAACTGACGGACTAATTACATTTTTAATTTTCATACCCTGGAAACTACCCTATTATTCCAAATACTCTGTCAAATGTCAATTTTATTCTATAGTGGAGAATTAACTGATGATTGAAAAATCATCAGCTAATTCTTTTTAAAAGCGGTCTCCGGTTGTCGAACCTGTGCCTTTAGCCACACGCCACTTTAGCGCTTGTCTACAGAGAGAGTAGAAATCAAAATGTATGGGGATGACACTGACAAGTGTCAAAATTTACGTCAATTCCATATAATTTGATTTTGTATTCTACAAGTAGACAAGCGCTAAATGGCATTTGGCTACAGTTGCTGGCTTATTTCTATCGGATTTTAAAAAATCTAATACTTTACACATGGGACTTGTTGTATGGAAAATGAAAACTATGTAACTAAAGAATTGTATTGTGAACCTGATTGAAAAAGAGTAACCTATGGAGTTTCTTGCTCGTTCTTCTACATAGGAATCTACACTTTGGATTCAAATAGCTTCACTTTTCAATTTTTTGTTGACGTTGAATAGTGCCTTCCTGGGGGCTTACTCTTGAATCCAATTCCGATCGATCGACATTGATATTGTGTCGTACTCTTGAGTTGCAACACTAGCGTCCATTGCATCCGTATTGCGTGGATATTGAATGAACTAAATGGTATTGAGTTTGTCTTTATATTCCGTACTCTGAATGCTATTGTAACCGCTACGATTGTGGTTGTATAGTGTTGACATTGAATAATTATTGACTTTTCAATGGATTGCAATTGCATTGACATTGAGATTGGTTTCAAGAGCACCCTGTTCTTGTCGAAGTAAACGATTTTGCTTTCAATCGTCAAAACAATAAATGAAATGTAAATATTTTACTGCATTGAAAACTCGAAACAATTCATTTTTGACTGAGTAAAAGATTTATTTATTTGTTTTTTTGTCCAGGCCAAAGCATCTGAGGGTGCAGGCGAAGACGGGAAGCTGAATATGATGGAGATCACTCTCAAACAACTGAGGGATAAGGTACGCATATCTTAGTAATAAAGTGTGGGAGAGCCATGCTTCGGCACGAATAAGCCGGCTCGACCGGAGTGACACCACCAACGTAGAAAACCGACGTGAAGCAACGCTTGCGTTGTGTTTCGTCGTGTGAGTGAGGTTACCGGAGAGTGATACCACGGCCGAGCAGAAAACCGACGTGAAGCAACGCTTGCGTAGTCTTTCGTCGTGTCAGTGAGGTTACCGGGGGCCCAATTACCCTCCCCTTCCCCAATCTCCCCAATCCCTGAATCTCCAACGATTCTCAAACTCCTAATCTCCAAAAGGCCGGTAACGCACTTGTAACGCCTCTGGTGTTCCGTGTGTCCATGGGCGACGCCGATTGCTTACCATCAGGTGATCCGTCTGCTCGTTTACCGGCTTATGCCTTAAAAAAAAAGTAATCTGAGTACGATGTTCGGGTCGAGTATTAGTCTGCCTTCCCGTTCACGACATTAAGTTCAAAAATATTGTCTTTTTTCACAGGTCGAAGCAGCAAAAGCTCTAGTGGAAAGCAAGAAGCAAGACCTGGAAACCAATAAGGCCCAGCTGTCAGAGCTTAACAATACAGTTACTGAGCTGGGGGAGAAGTGCGCGCGAGTGTGGAAGCTGTATGAAGAGAGACGAGAAGAGTATCTCAGTAGGAGCTCGGCCCCGGCTGAGAGTGCTTGGAACGCAGGTAGGGAGCTAACTCCCAAAGCATTTTTGGGAGAGCCATGCTTGCGTACGAATGGGCCGGCTCGACCGGAGTGATACCACGGCCGCACAGAAAACCGACGTGAAACAACTTGCGTTGTGTTTCGTCGTGTGACTGAGGTTACCGGAAGCCCAAGTTCGAGGGGGGGTCCCTCCCCAGTCTCCCCAATCCCCGAATCTTCACAATCCTCATATTCCCAATCCCCAAAACACCGGTAACGCACTTAGACACCTCTGGTGTTCCATGTGTCCATGGGCGACGCCGATTGCTTACCATCAGGTGATCCGTCTGCTCGTTTACCGGCTTATACCATACAAAAATTATTTTAATAAAAGTTCAAAACTATCGTGAGATATACTGAATTAAACTAAAAATCGCGAGTTACTCACGTGAATATACTGAGAAAAGCTCTACTAGTTTCGAACCACAGAGGGGTTCTTCCTCATGTGTATGTGAAAATGTTTGCAAACGTACACATGACACTAGGAGACTATAAGCGGGAAAAAATAATTTCTGTGAGGTTTTGGTTTTTTTATGGTATAAGCCGGTAAACGAGCAGACGGATCACCTGATGGTAAGCAATCGGCGTCGCCCATAGATACAAGGAACATCAGAGGCATTACAAGTGAGTTACCGGCCTTTTGAGGATTAGGAATTTGAGGATTGTTGGGGATTCAGGGATTGGGGAAATTGGGGAGAGAAGGAGGTGTTTTTTTTTAAGGGGGGAAAATCATCGAATGACTGCTCCCGCCTGGGTGAGCGGGAGGGAGTGTCAGACTCTTACTGACTAAAAACCACTCCGTTCCTTCTCCTGCACGTCGAGCCGGAGCCCCGGTTACCCGTTAGGTTCTACGCGGTGTAATTGGGCTTCCTGTAACGTTACCTACACGACGAAACACAACGCAAGCGTTGTTTCACTCAGCAGTGCCGAAGCATGGCTCTCCAACACTTCGTTTAGCCAATGTATGGCTTCAATATGAAAGAAAGAAAAGAAAAACCATGTATTTTGCTACGACACACAACGAGAATTTAGAAACACAAAAATAGCCTACGGTGCGTCGCGGTGCAAAAGGCTGGAGCTCAGCTTAATACCGTGGACCCACAGAGGGTCGAGCCCACGGTGATCATTGGGGGCCATCCATAAATTACGTCACAACTTAAGGAGGAGGGATGGGGTCGACGAAGTGTGACATTGTGTGACAAGGGGGAGGGAGGGATCCAAAACTTTGTGATGTCACCTTTCAAAAACTAATAGTTAATCTGTGTTAAAATACGAAACATAAATGTATTAATGTTTTTTATTAAGTTAATTGTTTGATTTGACATTAATATTTTTTTAAAGTAATTTAAGTGAAAAAACAATAGTTTCTATACTGTAATTCTGCAAATTGTGACGTCACATTAGGGGGGGGGCGTCTCACAAATGTGACTAGCTGTGACAAGGACGGGGGGAGGGGTATAAAAATCATGAAATTAGTGTGACGTAATTTATGGATGACCCCTTGTCACCAGCCCGTTATAGTACGTACTTGATTTTTGATTTTTCAAGTTCTTTATTAATATTAAATATGATAACAATCACTGTTTACAAACGATCTTATTCTATTTGTAGACTTACCATAATTTATTTCGTTACACAGGCTGTACCGCCTTTATAAACATTAAAACATTTTGTTATTAAATTTTAATTTTACACTGATATTAACTTGATTATAGATATAAGTAAGTGGTATGTGAAAGACTTAGAATGGACCCACATAATATTTAACTCGTCGAGTACCGGTTTTGTAGACACAATTAAAGAACAATAGGTTGCGGTCACCGGTGACCGCTTGGTGTTTGACAGTTTAAAATATATAAGTTACAAAACGCAAGCTGTTATAAAAATCTGCAACTATTATAACAAATGTGAGGTAAGTTGTGGGTAGTTCCACAAAAACATCGCGCATAAACCGGCCGTGCGAGCGGCGTCGCCTGGCAAGCGAGCAATCGTCATGGATAGTACGTACTAGTTATACACCTACGGTAACGCTGTTCGGAGCACAGCATGATGTATATAATATAAAAGTGAAAACAAAATCAACAGAAACGATTACTGCCAAAAAGCTAAATAAATAGATTCAAAGTAAATAATTAAAGTAATAACTAGAACATAATATGTTTTTATAATAACTATCGTGAGACATGCTAAATTAAGTAAAATCGCGGGTTACTCACGGGAATATACTGAGAAAAGCTCTACTAGTTTAGTCAGTGAGCTACGCGACGTCGCCGCGACTGCGCACGCTGCTCATGAGGAAGAACCCCTCTGTGGTTCGAAACTAGTAGAGCTTTTCTCAGTAACCCGCGTTTTTACTTAATTAACTCGTCGAGTACCGTCATTATAGACACAATTATAGAACAATAGGTTGCGGTCACCGGTGACCGCTTGGTGTTTGACAGTTTAAGAACATAATAATAACATTAAAATATATATTCCTAGAAGCGGACTGGGGTACGACAGCGAACGATGCGTGGGGCGAGGAACCTGCCTCGGACAACGCCTGGGGAGATGCACCAGCCACTACTGGTCAGTATCTTTATTATATACTAGCTTCTGTCCCTGGCTTTGTCCGCGTTCCGGTGGTATATAGAATAGTATATAGGGCACAGTGAGCTCACTGTACCCAGCACTGATTTTCAGTTGGCACCCCTGTGCCTTAAGCCAAACGCCACTTTAGCGCTTGTCTACAGAGAGAGTAGAAAACTAAATGTACGGGGATGACGCTGACAAGTGTCAAAATTTACCTCAATCTATCTATATCTATACTATTATAAAGAGGAAAGATTTGTACCTATTTTTGTATGTTTGTAATGAATGGGCTCAAAAAGTACTGGGCCGATTTAAATAATTCTTTCACCAACAGAATGCTATATTCTGGCAGTTTGACATAGGCTACATTTTATTTTGAAAAAAATTAGGGATCCTTGGTAAAATTTGAACAATGTAACCGAAGGTGTAGAAAAATTAGTCTTAAAATGTCTTTCGTCGAATGCGCTGCCGAAACTATTAGCGATAGAACAAAATAATGTACAACAATATTGAAGAACATCTTAATGTCTACAAAAAACTACGCGGTAGCATATGTCCAACTATTGTAGCTATGTCACTACAACAATCCAAATTTCCAAAAATAAATAATAGGGTAGACGACTAATTTTTATTTTAATGTCCGTCTGGTAGATTATTTTAAATCATTACACACGTATTTTTTATTTTCTTACAGAAACGAATACTTTCGACGATATATTGATTTGAAATGTCGCGTGACGTCACTTCTATGTACATTTTATACGTAGAAATGACTATTTATCCCCCACTCCTAAACTTTGATTCGTTTTATCTAAGTATTGTTTTATTATACGACAAAATAAAAAAATACGTGTCTAATATTTTTTAAATACCTAACTTACGGACTAATTAGATTTTTAATTTTCATACCCTGTCGTCATCCCAATGTCCCATACCCCGTGCGAAGCCGGGACGGGCTGCTAGTTTCATATAATTTGGTTTTCTATTCTACATGTAGACAAGCGCTAAATGGCGTTTGGCTACAGCTGATGCAGTGACGCACGGACGACAGCAACACATACTACTTGTAATCCGTATATGCCAAAATTCGCCAAATGAGAAATATTAACTTTTATTTTGCTTTCCAAGCGCTATTGTTTTCTCTTATCGCTCCGTCAGCTCGGTCACCTGTAAACCTACCAATTTAAATATCACTTCTTCATTATATCACTAGTATTTGCCCACGACTTCTTACGAGGTTTATTAAACGAGTTTTCGTGCTGCTGAACATAGGTACGATGTCGCGGAGAACCTAACGGGTAACCGGGGCTCCGCCTCGAAGCGCAGGAGAAGGAACGGGGTGGTTTTTAGTCAGTAACATTCCTAATCCCCAGCAATCCTCAAATTCCTAATCCCCAATAATCGTCAAATTCCTAATCCCCAACAATCCTCAAATTCCTAATCCCCGACAATCCTCAAATTCCTAATCTCCAGCAAACCTCAAATTTCTAATCCCCAACAATCCTAAAATTCCTAATCCCCAACAATCCTCAAATTCCTAATCCCCAGCAATCCTCAAATTCCTAATCCCAACAATCCTCAAATTACTAATCCCCAAAAGTCCGGTAACGCACTTGTAACGCCTCTGGTGTTCCGTGTGTCCATGGGCGACGCCGATTGCTTACCATCAGGTGATCCGTCTGCTCGTTTACCGGCTTATGCCATAAAAAATTATTGGTTTCTGACTACGGAAAGTACCCAATTTTTATATTAGCAAAATATCCGAGTGTCCTACTCAAAGTAGCCGTATTATAAGTACTGCTAAACTTTTTTACGCCTTATTTCTTTACACTCAGAGTTGGATTCTGATTAGCATGCAACGTGTACATGTTGTGAACAATTTTTATATACGATATTCATATTTGTGTTAATAGTTAAAATAAACTCTATAAGAATGTGTGTTTCGGATTATTTTTGTTTGACTGCCGTAGTGTTATTGGGTATGTGTTAAAAGCTGTACCGTTTTTATTATAACGGCACTCGGGGCCCCCATATTCAGGGGCCCCCGAAGGGTCGACAATTTCTATGACGGATATCCGCACGGAACAACTCTTTGTGTGATCCACAAATTATTGTTCCGGGTCTGGGTGTCATGTGTATGTGAACTTGTATGTTTGTAAACGCACCCACGATACAGGAGAAAATCTTAGTGCAACGTTAAAAATATCATTAAAAAAGGGCTGCGAAGTATTGTGTGGTTAAGCCCCAGCGTGTAAGCAAAGGCCTGCGGACGGTCGAGCTCGGGTGACTCGCCCCCCGACCAGAACCAGAACCGAGCGTACTGTTATTCTGAGCGACTCGGCAATTATAAGAATAAAATTTATTTATTTAAGCTTCATGCACAATGTGTACATTAGGTGGACTTAATGCCACAGGCATTTTCGCCCAGTCTGACCTTTGGGTGATGCAGAGAAGTCAATGGTGTGAGCAAGAAGCAAGCAACGATTTAATTGAGCAATCAAAATATATACACTTACATATTTCAGAGATAAACACAATAATATTTAGACCTACACACAAATACAAGACAATATACATACATGCATTCATATATATATACACACATATATTAATACATACATACATACATACATACATACATACAAAATCACGTTTGAGACGCAAGAGTTTATTTATATAAAAAAATATACACGTTTTAACGTCCTAGACTGTGAGTGTAGACTCACAATCGCGCGGTTGCCCTAGTGAAAAGCTATGTCGACCCGGTCTAGATCAGGAATTTGAGCTGAAAACCAAGTTGGGCTAGATCCGAAGATCACATTGACTACTTTCAATGTGATCTTCGGATCTCGAGGTGGATGAAGCAGATTTCGAAACATGTGTAGACGGTTCGAATCTCACTAAAAGTAACTCTTTTTGCTGCGGATGAATTTCGACTCCCGCGGCCCCGCGCGCAAATGCGAGCAGACACTGGGGTGGTTTTAGCCGTTTAGAGTCCGGCACACCCCTCCGCCTTTCCCCAGGCGGAGGCAGTCCATTAGGATTTCCCCCATTAAAAAATAAAAAAAGATCCGAAGATCACGATTATATCAGCATCTGAGTCTAAACTAAATCTGCACTGAACCGCGCGCCAAAGAGCCATAAGACCTCCACAGATGGGGCCCAAAAGGGCTGATGCCTGATACAGAGCTGCGGAAAGCCTAACGGGTTGCCGGGGCTCCGGCTCGAAGTGCAGGAGTAGGAACGGGGTGGTTTTTAGTCAGTAAGAGTGACAGTCCCTCCCGCCTCGCCCGGGCGAGATAAGTCATTGGATAATTTACCCACCTTAAAAAAGTTATCCACCATATTCTGAGACGGACCTGGCTACCTCTAGGGTTGCAGGTGTACTTGGACTACTGTGTCCGCTTACTGTGACGACAACTGTAAGCTCTGTCACTACCGATATCTTGTGAACCTGATTGAAAAAGAATAACCTATGGAGTGTCTTGTGCGTTCGTCTACATAGGAATCTACACCTGTTTTGTTGACGTTCAAAAGTGCCTTCCTGGTCTAATTGAAATAAATGATTTTGACTTTAACTTAGTCGGGTATACGACACCCACGGGAAGAAAAGGGGTGGTGATAAATATATTGTACTCTATCCTCTTCACCACAGCATCCTAATACTACTTTAGGTTATATATAGAAAATGGGAAGTTAATAATTTTATTTATGTTTACAGCTATAGAACCGGTGCCTTCGTCGACTGCTCCTAGATGGCGCTGCGTGTACGAGTTTACAGCACGCACTGCTGATGAACTCAGTCTACAGCCCGGCGACCTGGTGAGTGAACTATATTAAATAAAACAACAACATTATACATGCAAATTTTACAACAAATAATCCGTTTTTAAAACATATTATTGACTCACGCAGACTCATTCACACTCAATTACTCACTCACTCACTCACTTACACCTTCATTCACTTACTCACGCACGCACTTTTTCTAGCCACACTTATCTCTCTCATACTAACTCACAAAAATACGCGGTTACTCAGCCAGCACTCACGTGGACTCACCTACACTTACTTACTCACTCACTCACATTCACTCATTTACACATGCGTGTTTGTAAACGCACTCGCGAAAGGAGAATCCTAGTATGAGATATTTTTTTCCAATAAGGCTTTGTGTAATCATTTTTAATTTTGTTTGTCTCAGGTCAGCGATGCTCAACCACCTCGCGGTGATGCCGAGCCTGGATGGAGATGGGGAACAGCTCGAGGTAAGGATTTTTTATGGCATAGGTCGGTAAACGAGCAGACGGATCACCTGATGGTAAGCACTCGGCGTCGCCCATGGACACCTGGAACACCAGCAACTGTAGTCAAATGACATTTAGCGCTTGTCTACATGTAGAATAGAAAACCAAATTATATGGAATTGACGTAAATTTTGACACCTGTCAGTGTCATCCCCATACATTTAGATTTCTGCTCTCTCTGTAGACAAGCGCTAAAGTGGCGTTTGGCTAAAGGCCTAGAGGCGTTACAAGTGCGTTACCGGCGTTTTGGGGATTAGGAATTTGTGGATGGTTGAGGTTCGGGGATATTTACATTAATTAATGAAGTTATGAAATTTAACACTTTGATTGATTAATTTATAACATTAAATATTTGCATGCGACCTAATGAAATGTGAGGATCTCAAAAATATTGTATTATCTGTAATGCACCACTTTTTAGAAATTTGATTTTATCCTTTTTAAAATGGGTCATGCCTGCCTCGTTGGCCGAATGATCGCAAGTGCGACTGTCGGGCAAGGGGTCTCGGGTTCGATTCCCGGGTCGGGCAAAGTATTACTGGGTTTTTTTTAAATCTCAGTAGTAGCACGGAGTCTGGAATTGTGCCCGGTATATGGCAATAGGCTCATCCCCTATTACATGGGACTTATAACATAAATAGTGAAAAGTGGGTGTTACATTGTACAGTGGCATTAAGTGTCGAAATGTGCACCTCTGCCTACCCCTTCGGGGATAAAAAGGCGTGATGTTATGTTATGTAAAATGGGTCAACCATTTCGCCTGGTGCTGGTGGTGCACGATGACGCGGTCTACGATGGAGCACGTCGTCCCATAAGCAACCTATTCACTCGGGCCTTGAAGACACCCAGGTTATAACCCTTCAGGAAATACAGACTCTGGCAAAGAATTCCACTCTTTAGCTGATTTGATAATTATAATATATATATTAGAATCGTTTCAAACCGTTTGCCTCGTTGGCCGAGTGGTCGCAAGTGTGTCTACCGGGCAAGTTATCTCGGGTTCGATTCCCGGGTCGGGCAAAGTGTTATAGGGTTTTTTTTATTATCTGTAGTAGCACGGAGTTACGAATTTTGCCCGGTATATGGCAATAGACTCATCCCCTATTACATGGGACTCATAACATAAATAGTGAAAAGTGGGTGTTACATTGTACAGTGGCATTAAGTGCTGTAATGTACACCTCTGCCTACCCCATCGGGAATAAACGGCGTGATGTTGTGTCCATTTCAAAGTCGTTTAAAATTCACGTTTTCTTTTTACAGGTCAATCAGGATGGTTCCCCGAGTCTTACGTCGAAGATATCAATGCTCCTGCGTCGTACAGCGAGGTCGTTGAACCCATGGAGACGAAGACTCAGTTGGAAGGCATTGCTGAGGTGCCTGAAGCTGAAATGGCGAACGATCTCGGTGGAGCCATGCCCGTAGTCCGTAAGTAGAAAAAAAGAGTCAAACGAGCCGACGGATCACCTGATGGTAAGCAATCGGCGTCGCCCATATACACTCGGAAAACCAGAGGTGTTACAAGTGCGTTACTGGCTTTTTGGGGATTAGGGATTTAAGGATCGTTGGGTGATTGGGGAGTTTGAGAAAGGGAGGGGGTGGGGGTAATTGGCCCTCCTGTAACCTCACTCACACGACGAAACACTAGTAAGCTGTCCCATTCTCCCACCCACGCGCAGTCCCCCGCGGCGCCAGTGGCTGCGACAGCTGCCCCCCCCCCCCGCGGCGCGACACTGCTACCACGCCAGCCTGGGTTCGAATCCCGAGTCGACGCAAAAACAATGTTACACAGTGATTATGATTTGGAATAACACAATATGGGCTGCTTTTTACTTCTATACTTCTGTCAGTGGGCTCGCTGCCATTGCAGCGGTAAGTCCCCTCTTTGAGGAGTGGCTTGAGAGACGCTACGGCGTCCTCACCTACCGCCTGACGCAGGTCCTCACCGGACATGGAAGTTTCGGGAGGTACCTGTGTCTCATGGGGCGGGAGGAAACGTCTGGGTGTCATCACTGCGAGGACCGCACGGAGGACACGGTGGAACACACAGTGGGAGAATGCCCTGCGTGGGCTGAGCACCGCCGTGTCCTCAGGGAAGTGATCGGCGATGGCGACCTCTCGCGTCCAGGCCTAGTGCAGGCCATGATGCGGGGCGAGGGGGATTGGGATGCCGTCTCCTCCTTCTGCGAAGCAGTCATGCTAGCTAAGGAGGAGGCGGGACGCGTGAGACACACCGGGCGTCGGGGATCGCGGGACCGATCTCCGGCCACCGGCAGCGGGACGGAGGACATACAGCATGGGTGGCCCCCGTCCGACCAGAAACAGACGGCGCCGAGCGGTCCGCGACACAAAGAGCCATCAGACCACCACAGATGGGGCCCAGTAAGGCTGATGCCGATACGGAGTCGCGGAGAACCTAACGGGTAACCGGGGCTCCGGCTCGACGTGCAGGAGAAGGAACGGGGTGGTTTTTAGTCAGTAAGAGTCTGACACTAAGGGCGGGAGAAGTCATTGGTTAATTTCCCCCCCTCAAAAAAAAAAAAGGTAGCTGATGTACTAAGAAGTACCTTAGGATAGTTTTATTTTAGTAAAACGCAGACAAAGTTACGCGTACAACTAGTGTACAAAACACAATATATTTTTACAGAAGGCGGTGATTTCTACATAGCTGCCTATCCGTATACGTCAGCTGAACCAGGCGATCTTACCTTCGAAGCTGGAGAGAGGATCGAGGTCATACGGAGGGACGGGGACTGGTGGACTGGGAGGATCGGTATCAGGTATGTAGTAGTTATACATTAAGGTATCACCGTCACTCTTGACGCGGGTGTCGTATACCCGACTGAATAATCTTCTGATTCACTTCGTTGTGGGAACCAAGACAGTTACTCATGTCCCTGGGACGCGCCGTACTTCAGTGTTCCGGTATTTTAATGGTTGTATCTACTGTAGATCCTGGCTAACAGGAGTTGCAGCGGTTTTGGAAGGTTGTGGCGAGATTGTACCATAAAAAAAAACACCCGACTGAAAGGGAGAGAAAGAGATCACATCAACTCCTGCGCAGGATCGACGGTTGATACAACCACGCAGGCCGATAACGCACTTGTAACGCATCTTTAGTTCCAGGGGTCCGGGCCGATTGCTTACCATCAGGTGATCCGTCTGCTCGTTTACCGGCTTTAAGAGCATCAGCTCCAACAAAGATTGTTATTAAATTTATTTATACAAATATAATTTTTTACCCTTAGAACGGGCATCTTCCCCTCAAACTACGTGACCAAAGACACGACCACGACGGTTGACGTCATAGCTTCCATCCCCGAGGCCGAGGAGATTGTTGACGGACAGACTGACGTCGCTCCAGCACTGCCACAACAAAACGCTGCGCCGTACTCTCCACCTGTACAGGTTTGACCCATCTTTTTCTATACCTTGCTTTTTGTAGATGCTACAAGTATAGGTGTACGATTCGTACACTTGCAGATTGTAGTTAATTGTTGGAGTGTGAAGAGAACATAAAGTTGTAGTTGAAGAAGTAAAGTTGTATCACTGATAGTTACACTTTTTTTAAGGGGGGAAATTCATCGAATGACTGCTCCCGCCTGGGTGAGGCGGGAGGGAGTGTCAGACTCTTACTGACTAAAAACCACCCCGTTCCTTCTCCTGCACGTCGAGCCGGAGCCCCGGTAACCCGTTAGGTTCTCCGCGACACTGATAGTAACACTAGTTCGTCGATATTGACTATTCCTTTCTCTTAAGTAGTTTGTGTTATCGTTGTAAAATGCACATTGGTCCGTGTGTGTAGCAACCGTGTATTTTATAATTAGGTAAAAATGATCACCAAAAGGCATGTACAGTTGAAGACCGTGCAGTGGAAGAGCCATACCTGCACCTCTGCCTAACCGTTCGGGGATAAAAGGTGTGATCTAGTCAAAGTCAAAGTCAAAGCATTTATTTCAATTAAACCATAGTTTGGTACTTTTGAAACGTCAACAAATACAAAATAAATAATAGTCTGTCAGTCAGTCCGTCAGTGAAGCTAGGTGAAGCTAGGTGCTCATTCCAAAACGTAGATTCGAATGGAGAAGAACGAGCAAGAAACTCCATTCGTTACTCTTTTAAAAAAGTATGTTCTACAATGTCTCTGATACATATTTCAATACTGTACTGATGTTATGTTATTTTCCTTATTTCAAAAAAATATTCGTTCCCGTGAGCTTTCAGTAATAATAACTATTCTATATTCTTTCTCGGGTTGCCAACCATTATTGTACTGAATTACAAATCGATACAGCGGTGGAAAACTCATCCTTATCCGGGTCTCAAACTAGCAAATATATAGCATGCTGTGACGACGTCGCGGAGAACCTAACGGGTAACCGCGGCTCCGGCTCGACGTGCAGGAGAAGGAACGGGGTGGTTTTTAGTCAGTAAGAGTGACACTCCCTCCCGCCTCACTCAGGCGGGAGAGTCATTCGATGATTTTCCCCCCTTAAAAAAAAATGCTGTGACGTCGAAAGTATTTAATTTTGTGAGAAAACAAATAATACGTGTCTAATGTTTTAAATTAATGTACCAGACGAACATTAAAATAAAATTTAGGAAACTACCCTATTCATCAAGAGCCTATAAATACCCACTGCTGAGCAAAGCCTCTTCTCACACGAAGGTTTGAGCGTTAATCACCACGCTTGCTCAATGCGGGTTGGCGATTTCCAACTTATAATTAAAAATTATAAGCCCAGGTTTCCTCACGATGTTTTCCTTCACCGTTTGTCAGTGGTGTCTGAATAATCTTAGAAAGTACATATAACTCGGAAAAAGTCACATTGGTACTTGCCGTTGGTAGGTTTCGACCCCGCACCCATCTCATGCATGAGAAGTGGGCGTCTTAAATTTATGTTCTATTTGTATTTTTGTCAAACAGGAACAAAAATCGTCCACCCCGATATCCTCCGAAGTGGCCTCTATAACGGAGGGCGGAGGGTCTGCAGCGGGGGGCGCGCGCCCGGCCTCCGCCGCCCGCCGGGACTCCGGCCGGGACTCCGTCACGGGCAGGCGGAAGAACGAGGTCGCACAAGCCATCGCTAATTATACGGCTACTAGGTAAGTTTAGATCTAGTTTTTAAAGACTATTTTGTATATTTTTGAGGGTGGTTCGATTAGTTTCGAGTAATACCGGGGCTCATAAATTTGAGATTAATTATTATACAAGACTGCCTCGTTGGCCGAGTGGTCGCAAGTGCGACTGCCGGGCAAAGGGTCTCGGGTTCAATTCCCGGGTCGGGCAAAGTATGACTGGGTTTATTAAAGAAATATCTCAGTAGTAGCATGAATCCTGGAATTCTGTAAATTAGGCCGGTATATGGCAATAGACTCACCCCCTATTACATGAGACTGGGGAATGTAAATAGTGAAAAGTGGGTGTTACATTCTACAGTGACATCTGCGCCTCTGCCTACCACTTCGAGGAAAAGAGGCGTGGTGTATATATCATATGATCAACTAGTTTCGAGCTACATCGGGAATCATAGTAATTCAAATAACTCTATATAGTATATTCATTTGTATTAACGAATATATTCTCTTCTCAGCTCCGAACAACTCTCCCTAACCAAAGGCCAGCTCCTAGTAGTCCGCAAGAAGGCGGACAGTGGATGGTGGGAGGGGGAACTGCAGGCTAAAGGGCGGAACAGGCAGGTTGGGTGGTTCCCTGCAAGCTATGTTAAGGTAAGTTGTAGAATTGGGTACATTCCTTAATAAAAAATAAATTATTTCGACTGTTCAATACAAAAAAATATTAAAAAATAATCACACTTTCATTCATTGATTTTATGAACAACTTAATTTTAGTGTTTTTTCAGCAAATTTTAAGAAATAAGTACGCTGTTTGACTCTCTAAAACGTGACGTCACAATACACAATCTCGTACAAAATTCATAGAAAACTGTCGTTTTTGACAGTTCGAAAAAAAGTATTGAATTTGAAGCTCCTATGTCAATCTAAAATCTCCTCAACCCAGTCTGAAAGCTCCCAAACTCACTATAAGCTCTCCACAACCCACTCTGAATTCACCCCAGCCTGCTCTAAACTTGTAAAACATACTATTTTTCAAAAAAAATAACGAATGGAGTTTCTTGTTCGTTCTTCTCCATTCGAATCTACATTTTGGAATGAGCACCTAGCTTCACTGACGGACAGACTTCAGTTTCAAAAGTACTAAATTATGGTTTAACTCGTTGAGTACCGTCATTATAGACACAATTAAAGAACAATAGGTTGCGGTCACCGGTGACCGCTCGGTGTTTGACAGTTTAATTGAAATAAATGCGTTTGAGTTTGACTCTTCCTGCTCTATGCATAATCTATATAATCTACTATAATCTCTCTCTACCTCTAACTTAAGTTTCCCTTATCAATTCTAACACTAAATTCAGCTCAATCCTATACAAACTTTACTTGCCTTAGTTTTAGATATCCCACCCCACTCTAAAACACCTCAATCCACTCTAAATCTACCTTAAACCACTCTAAAATTTTCCCAACCCACTCTAAATTCCCCCAACCCACTCTAAATTCCCCAACTCACTCCAAATCTTCCCCCAACCCACACTAAATTCCCCCATCCCAATCTAAAATCCCCCAACCCACTCTAAATTCCCCTAACCCACTCTAAATTCCCCTAACCCACACTAAAGTCCCTCATCTCGCTCTAAATTCCCCCAACCCACTCTAAATTCCCCTAACCCACACTAAAGTCCCTCATCCACGCTCTAAACTCCCCCAACCCACTCTAAATCACCCCCAACCCGCTCTAAAACACCGTAAATAAATAAATTACAAATATATTTTTATAATTCATTTAGATACTCCAGTCTTCAGGCCGGACTTCCGGTAGAACAACACCAGTTCTGTCCAAAATGGACACGCTACCATCTGAAACAGTCATCGATAAGGTATTTATTTAATATACTGATTTTTTAAGAATATTTACTCGTGTTACT